GATGATGTTGATGGTGGTGATGATGATGGTGAACGTGATGGTGGTGAAGGTGATGATGGTGAAGGTGATGGTGGTGAGGGTGGTGATAGTGAAAATGATGTTAACAGGGATTATGTTGATGGTGGTGATGATGATGGTGAAGGTGATGGTGGTGATGATGGTGATGGTGGCGATGACGGTGATGATAACGGTGGTGATGACGATAGTGGTGGTGATGATGGTGATGCTGGTGATGGTGGTGATGATGGTGATGGTGGCGATGATGGTGATGGTGGCGATGATGGTGGTGATGATTATTATTAACAATGGTGATGATGATAACCGTGGTGATGACGATAGTGGTGGTGATGATGGTGATGAGGGTGATAGTGAAAATGATGTTAACAGGGATTATGTTGATGGTGGTGATGATGATGGTGAAGGTGATGATGGTGCTGATGATGATGGTGATGATTGTGACATGATAACTACGTGTTGGTGGTGATGATAGTCGTGGTGGTCATGGTGATCATACCTTCTACTGAAGCTTTCCTGGGTATGAGGCACTGCTCTGAGACCTTTGCCAAACAACCCTGGGATGTGGATACTAATGATTCTTATTTTATAGAGGAGACAACTGAGGCACAGGGAAGTATGATGAGCTGTTTGAGCATTTACTGACAGAGCTACACATCTACCAAGGCCCAGTTTCTGAAATTCCAGACCTGGGCCCTTTTCCCCACCCCAACATGATTCCACAAGAGGTTCTGAGGACCCTCAGGAATCCTGTAGGTTAACCCCAGGCCAAGAATCTCCGATAGTGCTGAAGTGTGAGTGAGTTGGACTGTGGGAGGGTAGGGAAGAGGCAAGGGTATCCTCAAGCCACTCAAAACCAATCCTCAGCATCATGGAGCTCTCCTGGAGCTGCTGGCCCAGGTCTCTGCCTACCCCTCCAACACACGCCCATGTGGGGCAAGCTCCCAGAGAAGCGTCCCAAGCCCTGCCCGGCAGCACGGGCCCTTTCCTCGTGATTTTGGCCCTGCTTGTCTAGGGGGTTTTCATTTTTACCTCCTCAGCATGGTCTCCCAGATCAATCTCCACAAACACAGACGGTTTCTGCAAATGGAAACCAAAGAGGTGTGGATGGCAGGCTGGGGTGAGCTGGGGAGGAATGTCAATTCCCTGGGAGGAGCAGTGGCTCCTGGCCCTTGGGGCAGCCAGGGTGGACCCTGGTGATGGCCATCAGGACCCCAGATCCTGGCAATGCTGAACAGGGGCTCCTGGGACGCTGGGCAGAGCTGATGGCAGTGTGGACTGTGAGGTGCCCATGGCCAGCTCTGGCAGTAGAGCTGGAGGAGAGATATGGCTTTCCCACCCCTCCCCACCCAGCCTCCATCAGGGCCCTGTGACCCCAGAGGATCTCCTCCACCCTCACCCTCTGAGAACTGGGGCCTCCAGGAGATGGGGCAGTTCCCAGAGCTAGGGGTCCTGGCCACTCCCACCGCAGCCCTGCTCAACAGGGCAGCACTCCTGTCCCACAGCCTGCCTGGAGACCCCCCACCCAGGATGTGAACGGCTTCAGTGACTCAGACTTTTGCTGCCCAAGGTCTCTGACTGGGCGCCCGGGCCAGCCCAGAATGTGTTTCTGATGGGAGCACTTGAGTCAACTCTGAGGACAGTGTCTGGGGGAGGGGGAGGGACTTCCCAAGAGCCTGGAGTGAAACCCAGGCCCGCCTGGCAAGCAGCATGTCCAGCTGTGTCCCCGTCCCCGCCACGCGGCTGAGAGGGAGAACAGACGCCACCTTCCTTCACGCGGTGCCGCGTGAGAACCCCATGTGATGTGTCTCTGGCCAACACATCGAACCTGGGGCTCTGGGGTTTTCCTGGGCCAGGGTCCAGCTGAGGGCACCTCCTCTCAGGGCCTCGCATACCTTTAGTGACTGCACATTTGGCAAGCTGGGGTCAGGCTCCCTGGGGTGGGGCAAAGAAGCTCAGAGCTTGGCCCCAAGCCTCTCTGGGGTAGCGGGGCCCCCCCCAGCTTCACAGCCTGGCGCTGCTGAGACCACCCCCAGGCCCCATCCCGGGCAGGTCCAGGCTCCAGCAGGACTCCCACCTGACGGGCCTCCCATCTTACTTTCGTTACTAAAGGGAAAAGCTCTTGCCTCTTTTTCCTGGAGGTCATTTAGCTTTATGGACTCTGCCTCCTGTTCCTGTAAAGACCAAAGAGGTAAGTGAAGGCCGGGCTCCCGGGCGGGAGGACAGACATGCACCACTCCTCAGGCCTGACCTCGGCCTCCTGCCAGCCTCCATCCGCGTGCGTGCCTTCCTGCACCTCCTGCGTGCTGGCCTCCGAGCCGCTCTTCTCCGTCTCCGGGTCCCGCTTTCCACTCTCATGACCCAGCTTCCCCAGGGCGCCGAAGGAGCTTTCCTTCTTGTCTTGTGCTAGGTCTGCCTGACTGCGGGAGGTGGAGGGAGAGTGGCAGACAGCTGCAGACGCTCCGGGTCTCCTCTGGGCCTGTCTTCCTGGGCTTGAGGCTGATGCCCGGGGGGCTGCGGGCGCCTGTGAGGGGCCCTGACCTGGCCCGGAGGTCTGGCTCGGATGGGCCCCCCAACCTGGCCCTCCTGGCTCCCTCTGCTGACCCATCTTGGCTGGAAAACTTACCCTGCACCACCAGGGCCTGGACTGGCAACGAGTTTACCTACAGCCAACCTGGGCTTATTTCAGAAAGCAGGGTCTAACCTTGCTCCAAGAGCCAAAATCTGGTGAGAAGATGCAGCCACCCTGCGGTGGATCCACAGCTCACTCCCGATGGAAGCCAAATGGGCCACGGCAGCCAGCGGGCTGGGGGTCCGTGGGTGGCCCCCCTGTTACTCACACCCACCTGGTGACCCCTTCTGAGGTCCGCTGTGGTGTATGGCCCGGGGCAAGAGGAAAGTAGCCGGCAGTGAGGACAGGGGCTCCTCCACCGTCTGCAATGGTGACTTGGCCAAGGGTGTTGACTGGCTTGGCCAACGTGAGCAGGCACTTTGAGCTGTGCCCCTGAAGGAATGTGGTCTTCCCAGCTCAAGTGCCCTCACCAAGGCCGTCGGCTTCCCTGAGCCCCACAGGGTGGGAGGTTCCCACGCCTTGCACGTCCTCTCTGACGAATGAGCCCCTCATTCTCACCGACTGATTGCACCTGTGGCCACTGGCGGCCAGACACCATCCTTGGTCTCCACTCAACGGGAGCCATTTGTAAAGAAGGATCACTTGGCCCTGCCTTGTCCATGGTGCTGGCAGATCGACTGTTAGATCTGAGACAAATTCTTGAGGTATGTAATAACTTTTAAGGCCCCTTTGATGGCAGGAGGGTGAGTGGGTCTTGGACCAAAGCTGGGGTGGAGTGTCCAGCTGAGGTGCAGGGAGGCAAGAGCTTGCGGTGCGAAGTGTGGACATGCCGTCCAGGGCCCGCGCCCCTCTCCCTAAAGGGTCACCAAGTTGTTTATATCTAGCGTGGGCCCAGCCGTCCACTAGTGAGACGACGCCTCCTTCCCCACAGGGCCACGGGGTGTCTAGTGAGAGGCGTGCAGTTGTGACTCTCAGGCCAGGGCCCCCCAAGTCCTGAGGATCCCCTCCCCTGGCCAAGGTGGGCCCTGTTCCCACATGGAATTGCTCTCCAAATAAGGAGGATCTCCCAGCCCTCCCACCCAGGCCCTGGGCGGGTCTTCTCAGGACCCAGGGCTCCCTTGGGCCCCTTGTAAGTGTCCACCTGATGCCCGGTGTCCCCCACGTCCACTCTCCTGTGTCCACCTCACTTTTCCCAGCTCTACCTTCACCCAGGCCAGCACCGGACCGGCTGCTTACCAGCTGGCATCTTCTGCGTTACTGCTTGGGCGCTTCCCCTGATCTTCAGACTCTGGAGAGGAAGGACAGAGCCTGTCAGCACCATCAGCACAGTCGCACTGCAGCTCCGGAGCCCGGGGTCCGCCCTGAGCCGCCCACAGCTGCCCACAGCAGAGCTCAGCCCTCAGCCATGGCTACAGCTAACCTGAGTTCCTCCCCCACCCGTGCCCATGCCCAGCCCTTCCTGTATTGGCCATCGGCACTTTCCACAGCCTCGAGCCGGGTCTTGAACCTCCTCCAGCTTCTCCCTCCAGGACTCAGGTGAGGCATGGCCAGCTGCCTCACAGGAAATGCCTGAGGCTCCGGGACCTCTTGAAATTCCTCTGTCCCAGCACAGGTGGCTGGAGGTAGCTGAGCAGGAGGATGGGAGAAGCCCCCCCAAGACCTGCCCCTGCCGGTTACCACCCCTACCAGGCTTCCTCTCATGGACAGGTGGGACTGAAAGCCCCGCTTGGCTTGTCCAGAAAAACCCACCCATCCTCAATGCCTCTGGGCTGCCCCAAGGCACGTTGCCAGAATGTCTGTAGTCGGCTTTCTTCGTGACACTCACGACCCAGCTTCCCAAGAGCGCCGAAGGAATTTTCCTTCTTCTCTTGTGCTAGACTTTCTGTCTTGCGAGGATTTTGGTGTGAGAGACGACAGGGACCCGGGAACGTCAACTCCGGCAGGAACCAGGCCCAGCTGTTGGCCGCTGGCCTGCACCCAGCACCCACTGCTCCCTGGCACACTGTTCCAGTGAATCACTGCGTTCTCTGTCCCAGGAACTTGCACACCAGCACAGCCTTGTAAGGAAGTCACATGCCAGGGGATTCTCCAAACCCTGGGTCCTCAGAGAGCCTCAGAGCGAGCAGATTCCAGACCCACGGGGCCTCTGCCGTGTCGGAACCAAGAATGGTGGTGGAGACTCCGGCTTTCTGCAGCCACTCTGACTTCCCACAACAGCCATTCGGCCAGGTATTCAAATGCCACAGGGACAATTCCAAAGCTTTAAATGAAGCTTGTGATGGAAGAGACCAGGCTAGGAGCCTCGAAGCAGCCTTGCCGGGAAGAACTTCCCCCCAGAGCTCAGTTGAGTCAGAGGCCACTCCAGGCCAGTCACTCAGCTCAGCCCCCAGGCCCGAGGGGTGGCTGGGAATGGGGCTCTTCCCAGGAAGTGAGGCCAGCAGCCAACCACGAGGGGCTGCCCTGACAGAGAAGCAACGAGTGAGGTCCAGAGGCAGGGCGTGGCGCCTTCGTGGGATCAGCAGGTGTCCAGGGAGCGCGTGGGCTCAAGGCGGGCCGCAGCGGGTCTGGGACCCAGTGGATTCTCGCTCTGCTCTCGCCATCCTCTCCGATGCTCTCCGTGGGCACCCGTCTCCTATGCTCCACGGGGCCCAGGCCCAGACAAACCCTCTGCCCCACTCCCCAGTCCCCCGTGAAGTCGGCCACCCCACCTCTCCCGAATCCCTGAGGCCTCCCTGTGATGTGGACACGGCGTCTCACCCACGCAGGCCCCTGTGGCTGCACATGGCACTGGCCACGTCACTGAGCTCACCAAGTCTGTGAAGGGTGAGGAGCTGAGTCCCTGCAGAAGTCAGTCCTGGGCAAGGCCATGACTGACTCTACCAGCAATGCCCGGCCATTTCCTTGGGTCACAGGGCTGGAAATGCCTCCTGCTCTTCTTAAGCAGAATCTCAGTTGCCTGGGGGCAGCCACCAAGCTCCCGGGAGGATGCGCTCCTGGACCGGGGTCTTGGACCCTGAGGGTGCTGGTGCCTGGGGGAGGCCGTGGTCTCAGACGCTGAGGGTGCTGGTGCCCGGGGGAGGCCGTGGTCTC